TCAAGGACAAGGTTCTGCATGGTGATGCCAGAGATGTGACTATTGGTGACGATGGGGTATTGAGGATGCCGGGTCAGGTATGTGTACCAAATGTTGATGGGCTTCGGGAGTTGATTCTAGATGAGGCCCATAGTTCGCGGTATTCTATTCATCTGGGTGCCGCGAAGATGTACCAGGATTTGAGGCAACACTATTGGTTGAGGTGGACGAAGAAGGATATAATTGGTTTTGTAGCTCGATGCCGCAATTGTCAGCAGGTGAAGTATGAGCACTAGAGACCGGGTGGGTTGCTTCTGCAGATAGAGATTCCGGAGTGGAAGTGAGAGAAGATCACCATGGACTTCGTAGTTGGATTCCCACGGACTTTGAGGAAGTTCGATGCTATTTGGGTGATTGTGGATCGGCTGACCAAGTCCGCGCACTTCATTCCTGTGTGTACTACCTATTCTTCGGAGCGGTTGGCGAAGATTTATATCTAGGAGATTGTTCGTCTAAATGGTATTCCAGTGTTTATCATTTTAGATAGAGGTACTCAGTTCACATCACTATTTTGGAGGGCCGTACAATATGAGTTAGGAACTCGGGTGGAGTTAAGCACAACATTTCACCCCCAGACGGACGGACAGTCCGATCGCACTATTCAGATTCTTGAGGATATGCTCTGTGCATGTGTGATAGAGTTTGGAGGTTCTTGGGATCAGTTCTTTCCATTGGTAGAGTTTGCCTACAACAACAGTTATCAGTCCAACATTCAGATGGTACCGTATAAGGCCTTGTATGGTAGGTGGTGTAGATCCCTAGTAGGTTGGTTTGAGCCGGGTGAGGCTAGATTATTGGGCACAAACTTGGTTCAAGATGCTTTGGAGAAGGTTAAGGTGATTCAGGAGAGACTCCGTACAACCTAGTCTAGACAGAAGAGTTACGCGGACCGGAAAGTTCGTGATATTTTCTATATGGTTGGAGAGCGGGTCCTGCTTCGGGTTTCACATAGGAAGGGCATTATGAGATTTTGGAAGAAAGGGAAGTTGAGTCTAAGGTTTATTGGTCCTTTTGAGATATTGCAATGTGTTGGGGAGGTTGCTTATGAGCTTGCCTTACCTCCTAGCTTGGCAGGATTTCATCTTGTATTTCATTTTTTGATGCTTTGGAAGTATCACGGTAATCCTTCGCACGTGTTGGATTTCAGTTCAGTCCAGTTGGACAAGGATATATCTTATGTTGAGGAGCCAGTGACGATATTGGATAGGCATGTTTGAAAGTTGAGGTCAAAAAACATTATATCCGTGAAGGTTTAGTGGCGGGGTCAGCCGGTCGAGGAGGCGACCTAGGAGACCGAGCAGGATATGCGCAGCCGTTACCCTCATCTTTTCACTACTTCATGTATGTCTCTATGCTCGTTCGAGGATGAACAAATGTTTTAAGAGGGGAAGGATGTAACGACCTAGCCAGTCATTTTAAGAATTAATGCCCTGATCCCCTATTAACTGCATTCCCCGTATTTGTTTCTGCTATTGTAAGTTGTTGGGAAGGTTCGTTTTGAATTTCGGAGTGTTTTGGGACACTTAGTCCTTAAATGAGAGTTTAAGCTTTAGAATTTGGACCGTAGTCGGAGCCATATGAAGGCGGTCTCGTAATGGAATTCTATTGGTTTTATTAGCTCCGTTGGGTGATTTCGGGCTTAGGGGCGTGTTCGGATTGTGTTTTGGAGGTCTGTAGCTTAATTAGGATTGAAATGCCGAAAGTCGAATTTTTGATGTTTCCGGTTCGATAGTGAGATTTTGATATCAGGGTCGGAATGGAATTCCGGAAGTTGGAGTAGCTCTGTAGTTTTGAATGTGATGTGTGTGCATAATTTCAGGTAATTTGGACGAGGTTTGATAGACCTTTTGATCGAAAGCAGAAATTGGATGTTTTGGAATCCTTAGGCTTGAATCCGAGGGTGATTTGGTATTCCGACATTATTTTGTGTGTTCCGACGGTTGTTACTAGTTTGAATAGTGGTATATGACTTGTTCGTATTTTGGGTTGGTGTCCTGGGGGCCTTGGGATAATTTTGGAAGATTGACGGAAGGATTTGGGAGATTTTGAAGAGCTTCAGCTGATGAAGTTTGTCATAATCATACCTGCAGATTGGGGACCGCAGGTGCGGGGCCGCAGAAGCGAGTGGCTAGTCGCAGATGCGGATAGAGGAAGGAAAATCAAAAGTCGCAGGTGCGAGTGCTTTATCGTATCTGCGAGACCGCAAATACGGTAAGAGAAGCGCAGGTGAGGCCAGTGCATTTAAGTGGATTTTCGCAGATGTGAAACTAGTAGCACAGGTGCGAGGAAATGGCCGCAAGTGCAAAAACCCTGGGCCAAAAACCTATATAAGTTTTCTATCGCGATTTTAGCCGATTCTTTCACAATTTTTATCCGAGGTTTGAGCTTTTTGGGAGGTCATTGAGAGAGGATTCAAGGGAGATTCAAGGAGATAAGATTTTTCGAACCCAAACTCATTTATATGGTATTATTCTACTGATTTGGAAAGAAATTTATGGAAAATAAGGGCTAGAATTGGGGGTTTAGGGTTTGAAATTGGAGACTTGGAATTGGGGATTTGAGGGGTTGTTTGTGGTCTGATTTTTGTGTATTTGGTATGTATGAATTTGTGAGAGTGTGAGGATTCTAGTTTTGCAAATTTTATCCGATTCCTAGACGTGGGCCCAAGGGACTTTTTGGACAATTTTCCTAATTTCGCGTGTTAGCTTCGAATTAATTAGTGGAATTAGTTACTTGAAGTTATATTTACATTATGCAATTGATTTGAATATATTTGGACCATTTGGAGTCGGGTACTCGTGGCAAGAATGTGATACCGAGTTGATTGAGCTGGTTCGAGGTAAGTGGCTTGCCTAACCTTATATGAGAGAACTCCCCTTAGGATTTGGTATTGTTGATATATGAAATGCCTTGTACGTGAGGTGAAGAGTGCGTACATGTGCCAATTGTTGAAAATTCCATTTTCATTAAGTAACTACAACTGTGTTTTCTTCCCTATTTATACTGCTTGTAATTTAAGCCTACTGTTAGCTTAGGGAAGCATGTCTAAGTGACTTAATTGCTTTACTTTTTCAAACTGATTTATTTGAATTATGTGTAGCATGCTAGGTTAGAAATACCTGTTTTACCTTGGTATGAAATTGGATTGAACTGAATATTCTGTGTGTCGCTGCTGTGTGTTTACTTTGGGACTACGGGCTATATCCTGGTACATCCCCCTTGCCTGTTTATTTGGACTACGGATTGGTATTCCGGTAGATCCCCCTGCACATTTATATTAGAACTATGGGACTGCACCCGGTAGATTTTTCCAGTACTGGGTATTTACATTTGGGACTACGGATTGGTATTCCAGTAGATCCCCTATGTATTACGAGTTGGACTACGAGACGACACCCGGGAGATCCACTGGACATTTATATTTGGGGACTACAGGACGATATCTTGGTAGATCCACGTTTGCTATCTCTGTGTGATGTTACGTTCTTTCTGTGATTTTCTCTCCATTGTATTTGTTGTTATTCTTATTATCCTGTGTTACTTCATACTGTTAGCATTTAATTATATTGTCATATTCTATACTATTTTACATTGTTTTTCATCTATAATCAGTAGGGCCCTGACCTTCCTCGTCACTACTCGACCGAGGTTAGGCTTGGCACTTACTGAATACTGCTGTGGTGTACTCATGCCCTTCTTGTGCATGTTTTTCATGTGCAGATCTAGGCTCTTCGGCTTAGCCATACCATCAATGAGGCGAGGCGATTCTTTAGAGACTTCGAGGTATATCTACCGCGTCCGTAGACCGAGGAGTCTCTCTCCATTCTCTCTTGTAGTTATAGCCCTTCTGTATTTCTTTTGATTTAGACATTCTAGAGTTAGAGCACTATGTAGTAACCATAGCTTGTGATTTCATGAGATTCCGGGTTTTGGGAGTTGTTTTAGTTTGAGAGTTTTTATTGTATATGCCGAGCGGCATCTTAAACATTTATTTATGTTCCTTTCGCAATTTTTTTGGCTAGTTTTATCTTTCATTTCTTTTTTCCACAATTTGTTAGGCTTACCTAATCGTAGAGACTAGGTGCCGCCACGACAGTTCACAGAGGGCGAACTCGGGTCGTGACCCTTGTTATAAGTGTGTGTCATTCTTTGCTGGTATAACTAGCCAAAACACACTGCTGCTAGCCGTTTTTCGTCAATCATCATTAGCTATTCTAATCAGGTCTTGACCCACTCAGTGTCTTTAATCTCTAATTCGATAATGATTCGGAGAGAGCGAATTTCTACTTCAACCAGTATTACAACTTTAGTTCCATACACCAACAGATAAGGAGTTGTCCCAATAGATGTGCGAGCATTCGTGCAGTATCCCAAAAGGGCAAAATGCAACTTTTCATGCCATTGCCTGGACCCTTGGATCATCTTCCTAAGAATCTTCTTGATGTTCTTGTTTGCCACTTCAATGGCTCCATTAGCTTTTGATGGTAAGGGGTAGAGTTGCGATGCACAATTTTAAATTGCTCGCATAACTTCTTCATCAAATGACTATTTAAATTGGTTGCATTGTCATTGATGATGGTCTTTGGGATACCAAAGCAACAGATGATGTTGGAATGAACAAAATCTACCATTGCTTTCCTGGTGACTACTTTGAAAGTGACGTCCTCTACCCACTTGGTGAAGTAATCAATTGCAACTAAAATGAATCTATGCCCATTTGCAGCCTTTGGATCGATTGGCCCAATAACATCCATTCCCCAAGCATGACGATACGGCGAGAAGGAGGATTGGGCACTCATGATAGCTGCAATTTTGCAGCTTGATTTGAAGGATTTACAAAAGGCCAAGTAGAGGACATGGGATGCAATTCTGATAGAGGCCAGTGAATCAGGTCGCCACGAATTTGGCATTAGTGATGCTTGCGAACAAAATTGAAGCAATCTCGCTCCATAATAAGCCAATTAATAATACCCTGCCCGTAAAATCTTCTTCACCAAAACATATCCATTCATATGAGATCCACATACCCCTGAATGCACTTCACTCATAATCCATTCGGCTTCTATGGAATCTATGCATGTCAATAAGTTCGAATCTGGGGCCCTTTTGTACAAAATTTCCCCATTCAGGAAGAAACCATCGGCAAGCCGCCTTATAGTTCTTTTTTTATCTCCCTTGGCATGCTCCAGGTATTCCCTTATTTTCAGGAATCGTTTTATGTCATGATACCATGAATCACCATATAGTTCTGTCTTAATAGTATTGCAATAATCGTGTTGATTCTGAACTTGAATTTTTAATGGATTAATATGAGTGTTGCCTGTATAAGGGAGCATCGAGGCTAAGGTAGCCAAGGTATCGGCTAGCTCGTTATGAAACCTGGTAATGTACCTATACTTGATGGATTTGAATCTCTTACTTAGGTCTTGCACACATTGTCTATATGGAATAAGCTTGATGTCTCGAGTCTCCCATTTGCTTTTGGCTTGCCGGATAAGCAAGTCAGAATCTCCCATAACCAATAGTTCATGCACATCCATATCAAGATCCATCTTTAGACCTATGATATGAGCCCTGTATTCTGTCGTATTATTGGTACAGAAGAATGGAAGTTGTATCATTTCATGGTAGTGTTGTCCAATAGGTTAGATGAGGATTGCCCCGATCCCAACTCCTTTGATATTGACAGCCCCATCAAAATATATTTTCCATACATGGTTGTCATCGGAACTACTTCCTCTATTGAGTTGAACTCTTCATCTGGGAAGTATGTGCTCAGTGGCTCGTAATCATCATCGACTGGATTCTCTGCTAAATGATCTTCCAAAGCCTACACTTTGATTGCGGTGCGAGTGACATAGATGATGTCAAACTTTATGAGCAGAATTTTCCATTTTGCGAGCCTAATAGTGGGCATTGGCTTTTGGAAGATGTACTTCAAATGTCCATTCTGGATATAAGGTAAGTAGTGTAGGCAAAAAGATAATTCCGCAATTTTTGAGCGACCCAAGTCAAGGCACAACATCCTTTCTAAAAGGATATACTTAACCCCGTAACTGGTGAACTTCTTGCTCAAATAATAGATTGCATGTTCCTTTTTGCCTGTTGCATCATGTTTCCCTAGAACGAACCAAAGGAATTATCCATAACAGATATATATAAAAACAAAGGTCTATCAGGTTCAGATGGGACCCGTACATGGGGTTTTGACAGATAATCTTTGATCCTGTCAAAATCTATTTAGCAATCCTCCATCCACTTGATATCAGCATCCTTTTTTAGCAACTTAAAGATGGGCTCTCATGTTGTTATGATCTAAGAAATGAACCTATTGATGTAGTTCAATCTACCGAGCAAACTCATGACTTCAGTTTTGTTCTTTGTAGGTGGCAGATCTCGAATGGACTTTTATCTTAGATGGATCCAATTTGATGACTCTTCAGCTAACTATAAAATCGAGGATCTTCCTAGACATAATCCCAAATTCACACTTGGTTGGATTGAGCTTAAGGTCATACCTTCGCAGCCATTCGAAGAACTTTTTCAAATCGCGCACATGATCAGCCTGTGTCTTTGTCTTTATGATGACATCATCGACATATACGTCAATCTCTAAATGGTAGTCATGGACCTCGTGTACGCTATCCCCCTGCATTTTTCAAACCAAATGGAATGACCTTGTAATAATATGTACTCCCGTGGAGTGGTGAAAGTGGTCTTTTCTGCATCGTCCTCATCCATTAGAATCTGGTGGTATCTTGCATAGGAATCTACAAAAGATTGTATCTCATGCTTTGCGCAATTATCTACAAGGATGTGGATGTTTGGTAAAGAAAAATTATCATTTGGACTCGCTTTGTTCAAGTCTTTATAGTCAACACAGACTCTAGTTTTTCCATTCTTCTTTGGCATATGCACAATATTTGCCACCCAGATAGTGTATCAGGCGACTCTGACTATATTAGCGCTCAATTGCCTCATAATTTTCTCTTGATTTATCACTCATGTCTTTTAAATTTTCATTGCTTTTGTTGGATTGGTGGAAAGTAAGGATATGCGTGAAGCTTATGAACCACTAGATCATCACTTAAACCCCGCATATCATCATAAGACCAAGCAAATACATCTCTGTATTCAAATCAAATCTGAATCAAGTCGTCTCTGGTTCTTTGTTCTATGTGAATACTTATCTTTTGTTTCTCTGATTTCTTTAGGACTTCCGATGTTAATTGACCCAGTTTTATTATGGTTGGGCTTAGTCTTGTTTTAAAATTTCTCCAACTCTCTTTTTATTTTTGCAATAACTTCATCATCATCATATTCAACCTCTTGATGTATTATTTTGAAATTAGACAGTTTTTAAGATCTGGGTGTGAATTTTGTATGCATGTCATGTTATTAAAGCGACATTAACAAAACTGAAATGGAAACAAAATGATAGGAATTAGAAAAAAAGAAAAGATACATAACTTAATACGAAACAGAACTGCATTTCATTAAATTTGAAAGAATAGAAGAGTTAACATCAAAACAAAACAATCATACTGAGGTTTAGATTACAACCCTGAAATTAACCCAAATACATAAAAGATGCTGCAAAAGCAAACTACCAAGTCTCCTTCCTTGTAGGGAGAGGAGTTGCTTCCCAATTGTTGATCATGGTGTCTGGGTCAATTAGTTTCATATCAGTATGATTAGTTTCATATCGGTATTCACTTCAGAAAACATTTGGCTGAGGCCATGGCAAATTTCATCAATGTTTTCCTGTGGCAAAGAATTTTGACCCTGTTGGAGTTGTGGCTTGACAAAAGTGTAGAAAATGTGAGGGTTCAGTTTTTGCAAGACCCACCCATGGTTTTTCCTGTGTTTGGCGTTTTCTATATCTGCTCGTGTTAGTCTGAAGCCTAAGCTAAAAGTAACCTTGTTACTAAAGGGAGAAATGGGTTCTCAAATCCCTTGCAGTGATGTCCCAAGCATTTTCCTAGCTTATAAACCTGTCTCAGAATGAGTGCAACCACCATTACAGATATGGCGAAAAGACGAGGATGCATAATGGGCTTTCCTTCTTCAACTTGGTCCACAACAACCACTTTGAAAGTCTGATGGACAATGGACCCACACCCTTTCTTGGCCTTAATGCACGGGATTAAACGGTCTTTATAAATGGATGACTCATCTTCTCCGTGAACAATTTCTTGCCTATCATGTTTGAACTTGAGCATCTGATGCAAGGTGGATGGCATGGCTCGAGCCATATGGATCCATGGCCTTCCCAGAAGAAAGTTATAAGAAGTTTCCATGTCCATGTCAATGATTGAGAAATTCTAAACTTTTTTTTTTCAAAAACTCTTCCACCTCTTCTTCAGTGACCGGTTTATTTTGTTGGCATTTGGCCTTCTCTAATTTGCTTGGCCTTTCTCAACTCTTCTAGAGAGTAACAACTCCCCGATCGAGTCAAACCACCAGTTTTCCCCACTTCTTCTATGATTTTCTTGCCTTTGTAGGTCACCACAGTTTTGTTATAGTTCCAAGGAATGGTTTTCATATTTGTCACACGGGGTTGTATCGGTCTTGATTATGATCGGCTCTGTTATAACTTTTGTACCGCCTTACTTCTACGTTGTGATAGGGTGGCCTCCACGGACATATAACCTTGGGCTTGGAACACTGGAGCGGACTTCCAACCTCGAGATTTTTGGAACAAATAAATTTGCCTTCTCTGAGCACTGGGCACCTTTCACAATCAATGGTACATCTCAGCTTGGACTTACTTCCAGTCGTATTCCTTCTTGAATCGTTCCCACTATCATTTCTGCTCGACCAACCAGCTTGTATTCTTGATATCGGCTAATCATTCCCATAAAATGAACATCATTGTGTACTGGCAATGGGTTATTTGTCACATTATGAGGGTCCTCGCCATTTGTCACCACAATTAACTTTTCAGCGATGAATCTTTATATGGCTCTTTTAAGAGTCCAACAATCATCAGTGTTATACCCCGGGACACCTGAATGATATTCACATCTTATTTGCTTGAAATCTATGTGAATCGGGATGCATATGGTGGGGAGAGATGGGTCCAATCACACCTATCTGCTCAACTTCTGGAACGACTACAGTATGATTCAGCCAATGGAGTGATTTTATCCACCGGCCTCTACTCTCAACCATAATCCTGCCTGGGATGAGCATTGTAGGGTGCCCGAAAATTTTGCTGCTAAAGTTGGGGGATCCTTAGAGCCGGTTCCCGTACCTATTGATTGGGAGGCCAAGCATAACATTGGGCATTAAACACTGTGTATTGTGGTGGGCCCATAGAGTATTGAGGAATTGGTTGTGGATAGTAATGTTGAGGGTAGCTTGACTCCCTTACTGAACTTGCATATAAGGGTGTGTTGTCCCTATTTGAACTTCCCTGGATTTGAACTCATCATGGACCCTTCATCTCCCTTCTTTCTATTTGCCAAACTTCCCGACCTAGTTTGGATTGCTTGGGTGGTGGCTTTGAGAGTAGCTTGATTTACAATTCTGCCAGTCTTGAGGCCATTTTCGACCATCTCCCTTATTTTGATCACTTCGACAAAAGTCTACCCATTGCGGACATCATATTTTGGATGTAATCAGGATCTTGAGCCTCTAGAAAAATAGTGATCAACTCGTGGCTATCCATGGGTGGTTAACTCTAGCTGCTTGCTCCCTCCACTTGATGGTATAATCCCTAAAGCTTTCAATCGGCTTTGTCTTCATATTGGACATGGAATTACGATCTGGTGCAATATCAATATTGTACTGAAATTGTTTGACGAAGGCCTGGGCCATGTCGTCCCAAACATGCTGGTGGGAGATATCTTGGTCAATGAACCATTCAGAGGCTACCCCCACCAGACTATCGCCAAAATAAGCCATCTGCAATTCTTCTTTTCCTCCTACACCCCTCAGCTGGTTGCAGTACCTTTTCAAGTGGGCGATAGGGCCGTCGTATATATCATATTTCTCAAATTTTGGGGTCTTGAACCCTGGTGGAAAATGGATATAAGGGAACATATATAGATTGTTGAATGAAATACTTTTGTGCCCACCTAGTCCTTTTATGTTTTGCTCAAAACATTTTATTTTCCTGGCCATCTCATCTGGCTCACCCATCTTGGAAACCTTTTCAGTTATTATAGTGACTTGTATTGAGAAGTTTGGTTGTATGGAGCCGAGAACTTGAAAACAATATTTGGAGAGTAGTATTGGCCATCATAAGCATGAGATGGTGGCTCATTGTTTGGCCTCGTCATAGGAGGCTATGGTGGGATTGTATATGCTAGCGTGCCAGACACTACAAGGGGGTGTTCCTGACAGGTACGGCTGGGGGTCGGACATTAGAGGTACGTGGGGAAGCAGGGAAGCTATAATTTTTCACATAACCTGGTGGTAGAATGTGATCTCTCGTTTCACGGAGCGGTGGCTGAGTAGCCAGGGGTATGGTGGAAGTTCCCTCTGAGGGACACTGAGGATGAGGCTGACCGGACACCCAAGCCTAATATACATAAGACAATTGCTA